CAGCCCGGGAGCCGGCAGCATCAGGTCCTCAGTGGCTCCCCTCCCCTCCCCGGCAGTGAAGCTCCACTGATCCGTGTGACAAGAGCTTCTCGCTGCCTGCTGCAACCATTGCGGGAGGAATCATTCAGTCTCGGGCTTTTTCTGAAGGAGAAAACAACAAACCAAAACAAACCCAAGTGGGTACGTGAATTGTGGAGGACAACGTGCGGCCACCTCGGGCCTATGCGGGCTCCTTTCTTCTTCCTGTGTGAACGCGGCATCCATGGAGTGCCCTTCCCGAGGGCCGGAGGGAGGAGGGGGAAGGGTCAGCTTGTGGAGGTGGCTGCTGCTCCCTCCAGGGCTGGAGGTGGGGAGGAGCTACGGGCTGAGGCTCATCTCTGCCTGGGAATCGGGAGGGCTGATTTTTGTCCCACGGTTTGAGCAGAGAAATGCGTTTCAAAGCTGGTAGCTCAGTACACTGCTGTGGGCTCCTGCAAGGGCATTTCTCCTGTCCATAAAGTTGAAAAAACAAACAAAAAACAACCCAGCAACTTGAAACTTAGTTAAAAAGGGGGTAAAAAAAAGAAACTTAAAGTAGTTTCTGCTATGAAAGCAGCTCGGCCATTTTTTTGGTGGTTGTTACAATCATATATCTCTATTTTTAACCCTCCTGGCCTTGTGTAAAAGTCTCACAACCAGAGGACACTGACTTACCAGCTGCCTGTTCTAGAGAAAACTGAAACTGATTGCACAAAGTGTTGACAAATGCACAGAGTAAACAGGCTGAAAAAAGGAAGAGAAGGAGGTGGGTACCTTCGGAGGTATCAGTGAGCTTCCCCAGCTCTTCAGCAACGCTTGAGAGTCAGGCTGGAAGTTCCCTGGCTTTCAAAGAGACCAGACCTGTCCTGGGAGAGGCAGGCAAAAATCATTCTGAGAACAACTGCCGGAGCCTTAGTGCTCCCCCTTGAACGTTTTGTTTCAGTTTCCTGATTAGCAGAAAACAAGAGTTCACAAAGTTCGGAGTGTAACAGAATATCTGGAGTGAGACCAGGGGAGAAATATAGAAGCATCGCAAAATATCACCTCCTTATTAACTGTCCGGGAAGGCAGAGGCATATATATGCAGGAACTCGGTCAAATGCTGTATTAGGAGAAGCTGATCTACAGGTATTGGAATCACCCCTTCACAAAGGTGCTGGGGCAGATCCTCAGCTACCATAAATTGTTGATTTCTAGCACTTCAGGTCCTGGCATGTTATATTAACTGGGTTTTTACTGGCTCTTCAAAGCTGAATGGGATTCTCCAAACATTCTCCAGTGGTAGAGGAAACTGAAACTGTACAAGGCACTTTCCTATAAACAGGAGAGTCATGGCTACTTCCCAAATCCTCATCCACAACAGGAAATGGAAAATTGGGAGAAATATTTCAACAATCAGAGGCAGGACCAGCACATCCTGAACTAGAACACAATTACACTTGTGCTGCTAGGCGATATAGGTATGAAAGGAATGAGTATTACAACATCTGCAGAAATGGTTTGGGCCCATAACCCTCATTTGAAAACTATTGAGGTGGCCACCAAAGAGAAACTCATAATCTCCAAAGTCATCAAGAGAAACAATAGAGCTCGATAAAAAAGAAAGGAAGCAGCAGCACTGAAGCTGGCTGGAGCTGGATCCCACAGTAATATCTTAACAAAATCACCAGTGATTGAAAAGAGTGGTAACTCATGCAAATTCACCTGTGCTGTGTAGAAGAACTGCATAATCCTTGAAAGATAAGGAGCCACTTGGCAAGAGAAGCAAGATCATTAAGCAGGTTAAAGAAAGTTGTCATTCAGCAGAAGGGACTGGAAAATTTCATCAGGGGTAGTAGTTCAGGGAGTCAGATGTGAATACAAGTGAATTCCCTTATTTTACCAGACTGGTACCATTCCAGGAAAAGGGAAAGTTTTGTACACATCTGAGCAAATCCATCAGACAAAGTCATAAGTAACCTGTTAGAGAAAACGTTAATGTAATTTCTAAACTAAGAAGTTGAGATCAGTGAAGGGCCTTTAGACCTGTTCTAAGTGTCAGCGTTGTAAAATGCAAATGACTTCCCATCACGTGAAAATACATGGGGGAGGTTAGATTCCATAGGCTTTGATGAACTCGTATCTGTTTTAAAAGGAAGATTTAGTGAAATATGATATTCAGGTCTAGGCACCATCACATCAGAGGAGGACAGCATGATAACGTACAACACTGATGTATACAGAACCAAAACATCAGTTGTATGCAGTCAGGCCACAAGGCCTCACGGGTTTATGCCTGATTTCCTACAACAGTTAAAAATACTCCAGGAATCTTAAGTGGCTGAGAGGTGCCTGTACAAAGAACTCAGCTGTATGGGACTAAATAGGCACATCTGCTTGAGGAAGATACAACTCAAATACAATTGCCTCTTCAACACCAGGCATTGCCAAGAACTGAGTCACATTTGGAGGTTTCATGATACCACCTACCTTAGCTCACACACCTCTCTGTCCTCTGTTGAAGGCTTCTCAGCTGTGGTGTTGGGCCTTGGTGCCTCTACAAATGACATTGTGCACAGATATTGCAAACCTTAATGTCTTCCTGTTTGAAAGCCTCTCTCTTTCTCTCTCGACAAGGTGAAACGTGAAGGCTCCATCTCTTTCAATCATGGCTGAGCTGTGTGTTGAGGCAGATGCCTCTGAAGCAGACCATGCTGGCATGTGGTTCAGGCTTGAGTGTCATTTGGAGGTTTCCACAGATCTCAGGTGCTTCATTCTTCTCACTGAAAATGTTTCCTAAATGAAGGAAGATCCCAATGCTGCCCTCAAACTTCTCTTCACTTTTGAATATCCCTTCAATTAAATTGAAAAGAAAAGAGGAGGGGAATGGAAAATACCTTCCATTTCCCAAGTGACAGCACCAACAGGGTTTCTTAAGGATTTTGGAGGCCTAGGCACAGTGTTGATTGGGAGCCTCTCTGCATTTAATCACATGACACCTTGTGCCTGAGTGTACATATGAGCAAATTTGGTGTTTCACATATTTGGATTTTGGTGCATTTGCGCACTGTGTACTTTGGTTCTTTCTTCATTTTACACCCCTGAACACCTGTACCCTATATGAAGGCACACATTGCACACATACATGTTTCAACATTGGCTGATGGGTTTGGGGGCCCTTCCAAACTAAGAACCTTTGTCCCAGGGGCCATACCTAAAGATGGCATTTGGTACCCCCAAAAAAGATGGGGAACTTGACACTCAAAGATAAATGCCAAGGCAATGGAAGCATTGTGGCAAGAGGAGACAAGGTCAGAGAGACATTAATGATGTATGAGGAGTGAAAGAAAAATCATCACCTGAGAAAAATGATGAAGTAAACAACCTGAAATGCATTGAAAATAATCTATGATTACTATAATACATGAACTCCTGTGAGAAATAAGTTTTTCTTGCCTCAGAAAGGCACCAACAACTCAGTGACATCAGCTACAAGGTAGCATCAGAAACACCAGTGCTGTGAGGAAGCCACCTTGAACCACCAGGGAATGAAAAGAAAATCAATCAGAGGAAGTGCTGTTTAGGCAAAAGCTAGGGTGGCAAGGGTGGCAAGAGCTGGAACTGGCTCAGAAGGTTTCAGCTCTAACAGGGAACTTCTAAAATAAAGGCTGAGGTGGTCAGCAAAGTTTTGCAGTGGCAGGCCAGATCATCCTAGCTCGAGTCTTACCGAGCTGCTGCTTCTGCTTCTGATTCTCCTGGCCACCTGGCTCTCAACTGTCTAGTGTGGGGCCGAGCAGCTGGAGGGCTTTGTTTGGGCCATATTATTGAACAGTAGGGAGAAGCAGTGGCAGCAGCAGTAGCCAGTGGCTGTATATTGTGGACCTTAGGCAACCCTAGAGTGCGAGCAGTCAGTCCTCCAATAAGACTCACCGGCCTGTTCTATAAATTCTCCTAGAGTGCCAGGAGTTCATTGTGTGCCTTGTTAGGAAATTTTGATCCAAAATCAGGAACATAATTAGTCTATGGAGAGATACTATTTTCCTTCTTAAATTTCCATTATAGTAATCTTCACTCACAGAGCAGAGATAAAAATTCTGGAGGGGATGGTAGGTGCTCTATTGCCTCCCTAGCCAAATTACAGGAACAGCGTTCACAAAACACACTCCTTTGCATGCATCTGCTTAACTAAAGTGACTAAAGAAACAAGGCAAACCTGGGTGTCCAGCTAAAAGACAAAGTTGCAAACACCAAGGTGGATTTGTAGAAATACAGTCTGACATAGTGGAAGTATGCAAGACTCATTAGCATGGGAGGTTTAAACATGTAGAAAGATGTGACTTCTAACTCTCAATCATCCCAAATTATTTGCTTGAACACTTTCTTTCTTTTCTCCCAGGCAATCCCCAAAAACATAACATCCAGCATGTAAATCTTGAATTGGATCTTAAGACTGGGATATGGACACCTGCTCTTGAAGATTTCCAGGGTAGCCTGTTCCAATGTTTAACTATCCTCACATTAGTCCTTCCTAATCTCCAACCTAAATTTCCCCTGCTGCAGTTTGAGGCCCTTGCTCCTAGTTCTGTCCCCTACAACCACAGAGAAAAGACTGTCTCAGTCCCCTTTTATAATCCCCTTGATATTTGAAGATTGTTATCAAATCCCACCCCCCAGTCTTGTCTTCTTAAGACTAAACAGTTCTACTTCTTTCAGCTTTTTCTCATTAATCCTGTTTCTCAGGCCCCTAATAATTTTGTCACTCTCTAATCTGTCCACCTCTTTCTTAAAGCATGGGGCCCAAAACTGGACACAGTACTCCAAGTGGGGCCTCCTGAGTGCAGAATAGAGCAGAAGCATCACTGCCCTGGATTTGTATGAGACACTCCTGTTAATACAACCCTTTTGTCTTTTTTTTTCTTTTTGTAATAAGAGCACACAGTTGGCTTATATTCAGTTTATGGTTTATTTGAACCCCCAGGTCCTTCTCTGCTTCACAGCCTAGCCAATCATTCCCCAGTCTGTATTTGTGCATGCAATTATTCCATCCCAAGTGCAGGATATCCTTTATGTCAAACAAAAAGCTCTATCTCCAGCCTTTCTAAAAGACTATCTGAGAGCAACCGTATAAGTGTTAACACTAAACCCAGGGAGGACTGAAAAGGTACTCAGGAAAAATTACAGTGGGGAGGATTTAAAGAAAAGTTTTAAAGGGATATAAAGTCTCAGGCGCTGGAGCATAAAGCATCCTATGAGGAGATGGGGAGGTTTCTTCCTTCAAGAGCAGATCATTCTATAATTGGCCACCATTATTTTTTGGTACCTGTTATTACTATAAACAGGATACTAGATTAGATAGGTTATTGGTCTGATCAGGTGTAGTACCTATGAAGAAAGAAGCACTTAAGAGAAACATATTTCCTCTACAATAGTGGTTTTCAAATTATTTTAGCTGTGTATCCCTTTATCAGCAAAATATTGCTGCTATACTTCCTACACCTGACTCAGTTCTTAGGCAGAATGTTGACCACAATGTTAATGCACACCAACACTATTGTACATTATGTGTTGACCAGTCAGAAACTCCACTACTATTATTAAAATATAGGCACATGCCTCATGTGCCTGTTTTTATTCCAGGGCTGTGTTTACATGAGTCACTAACTGTGCAGTTGTTACCGCGCAGTCATTTAGTACTTGCATATCCATGAACTATGATGCGACACTAGAGCCACTGCACAGTCAGCAGCTCATGTGGGTGCAGCCCAAAATGCCCAAATAGCAGCATCAAAAAATAAATGAAAGACCTTTCATCTATTTTAGACTTCCCCTTCATGTAGATTGCACACCTTCGTGTAAGGCTCAAACCTAGCTACGGCCATCTATGTTTCTCATCTTCATTTTGATCGCTGCAATTAATTAGACCCAAGAATGAAGTCACATACCATATACAAGTTCTAACTGGTAAAAAAAATAAATCTATTTTCTTAAGGCTGTGTTAAGGAGGTCAGTTTGGTGCTTTCTTGTTAACATCAGCTCCCTATTGAGTGTAAATTTCAATTCAAGGGCTTTCTGCCCTAATATTCAAAGTCTTCTACAGACTGGAATTACCTGAAAGATCACCCCTTCCTTGCCTTCTGCCTCACTTCTAACTCTGCCATCAAGGCTTCCCATCACAGCTTTCATTGAAACGCTGGAAAATTCAGCTACTAGGAGAGGGGGTGCTCATATACGGCAGAGAAAATGTTGACAGGAATTGGACCTAGACTATGGAACGCTCTGCCACAGGAGGCAAGTCTGATTGTGGAGTTCACCATTTAAAAAATAAATGCCATTTTTTTACTCAGCTTTCCTTCAATAAAGACATTACAAAGAACAGACTACATGGACTAGAGAGGAAGAACAAGGTGTTGACATTATTGTTCCTCTTTAAAATACTCAAAGGGCACTCAGAAACTGTACTCATAGGTGGCATATTGGTATCTTGATGAGCAGATAGAGTGCTTTTTTAGAGAAAGAAGTATAAGTTGATAGCATCCTTAAGTGGTTATAACTCAATCTTCTTTTTAACTAGCTGTTTCAAGTGATAGTTTTTGCAATGTGTGCCTACTAAAACTGTTACTTCAGAAAGCTAGTAAGGAATTTTCTTTTTAAACAAATGAACATACATAGCTTTTCCATGTATTTTTAATAAACTTCATAAAATGCCCATCAACAGAAAGATACATTGTCTTGTGGTAGCAGAGTTGGATGTGATTACTTTCTCACTAGCCCTTCTCAGACCCTGAAAGTGAATCAAGCAATGAGAGAGGGAACACAGGAGGGTGAAGTATGTTACCTCACACTTGTCATTCAGGGCTATTTTATTTTTCCCATTGAATTAAAGTCCACTTCATCCCTACCGTATAGACTCATAGAAATGTAAGGCTGGAACGACTCTCAAGAGGCTATCCAGTCCAGCCCACTGCACAAAGGCAGGATCAAGTATATCTAGAACATCCCTGACATATGCTTATTTAACCTATTCTTAAAAACCTCCGGTGAAGGGAGATTATGGAAGCAGCCTAAGCAGCCTGTTCCAGTATTTTATTAATTAGAAAGCATTCCCGAATATCCAATTTAAACCATCTTCACTGCATATTAAGTTGATTTCTTCTTTTCCTTGAATAAGAAAAACAATTTATCTCAGCCATTTTTATAACAACCTGTTATTTACTGGAGGATTGTTATGTTCACTCCTTAGTCTCCTCTTTTCCAAAAGAAAAACAACCAGTTTCTTCAACCTTTCCTCATAGATCATAGCTTCTTATTCTTGTTGCTCTTGTCTGCACTCTCTCTATATCTGTTTTAAGGGTGGTCTCTAAAAAATTGGACACTGCTGGACAGTGTCGAATAAAGAAGAATTTACTTCTGTTTCTACAAATGACAATCTGATGAATACATCCCAGAATAAGATTATCTTTTTTGAAATTTGATCATATTATAGGCTCATATTTAGTTTATGAGCCTACAATATGACCACTATATGAGCCACTATAAACCCAGTTGTATCTCTGTTTAGCCAGTTATTTCAAATTTTGTATTTGCACATTTAATTTTTTCTCCTTTAGTGTAGTACTTTATACTAATCTTTATTGAATTTCATCATGTTGATTTTAAATCATCTCTCAAATTTAAGATTCTTTTTGAATTCTTATCCTGTTCTCCAGAATACCTGCAACTGCTCCAAGCTTGGTATCATCGGTAAATTTTGTAAGTATACCATTGTATGCTATGCTGTATTCTTTTGCTCTCGTCATTACTAAAGTATCTGTACATCTGTCGCACATCAGTTGTTCTTTTACCTTTTCTCAAGGAGGAGTAAGCGTATTGTCTGGGTATGGATATGTGCATTCACATGTATGCACACTATCAAGTGTTGTTATGCATTCATATTAGAAAAGGCTAGTTTAAGGAAATGCATCTTGTATTTGGGAATAGAAGGTGATGGGTTTTTTAATGGCTTTTGATTCCTATGGGAATCTGTTCCAGAGGCCCAAAGTGGAACTTGGGAAAATGGTCTTCCATACAGGCACTATCTGCTTTTACTACAGAGTTCTGCCGTGTCTGAATAGTAAACTTGTTGACTGTGGTCTTCATCTTAGAGGGTTACTTGGTCTTTTAGAACTCCATTGAGCATCCTGAACATAAGGACTAAGACCTTGAACTTGATATCCAATAGGAAGTCAAAATAGTAAGCAGAAGATAAGTCTAATGCTTTCATAGTAACCTCTGCTGCTGAAAAGATTGTCTGCATCCATAATAGTAGTTTATTAAGATCTGGAGCTGCTGGAAAATTTTAATTTGGAACATAGTAGTCACAACACACAAGGACATGGAAGGTCTATCTGTCCTGAACAAAGCACAATGGGCAAATTCTCCATGCTAGCTCCAGAAGTGGAAGCACTAGAGCTACACTAGCATCACTTTGTATCTTAAGACAATTAACAGAGCCTGTTCTTTGTTGCCTTTCAGGAAAGCATATTATTCCGTGCCTGGTGCTAAACTAACGTGCCTCCGCTGCTTAGGAGTTAGGGGTACAGCCTCGGAATCAGAACTTCCTAGATCTTAAATGCTGGAGGACAAGTGGGAGAGGAACAGGGGGAAAACCCTGGTTATACTCAGTTTGCTTTCCCTTTCAGCATTCACACTCTGCCACTGTGGGTGCATCTACACAAGATGCTTTACTGCACATTAGACTAATTTAATGCACAGCAAAGTGTCACTGTCTACGTGTGTGTGTCAATTAGTTCACATTAAATTAGTTTAATACACCATTTGCTAGTACCAATACATGCAGGTACTAGAAAAACAGTGCATTAACTAATGCACTGAAGCTCATGTGTAGACGCTGGTCAGGAGCAATTTGCTCCTGGTCAGCCCAGGCAGCAGGGGGTCACAACTGTTGTCTGGCTATTCCCTGATCTCTGCAGGGTAGGGGAAGCTGTCTTGGCTGCACGGCAGCTCCCTTCTTTCTGCAGGATCAGGGCCAGCACCAATTGTTGCCCCACTGGAGCCTAGGCCTGATCCCAGTGCATCCTGCTAGCTCAGGGCTGGCACCCAGGGGAGACTGGAGCTCCCTTTGGCTACTGCAGGGGGGCAAAGCAGGGCAGGAACAGCTCTGGATTGAACTGCTCCTGTCAGGAGCAAATTTGTATTTGACAGGTGCATGTTCAGAGGCATGCCTGGATACAGTTCAGTGTGCCTGGATTTTCTGCATTCATTGCATGTGTAGATATACGCTGTGTGATATAGGATACTGAGCAAGATGGACCTATGGTCTCACCCAGTAAGTGGCAGTTCTTATGCTTCTAGTTCCAGAGTTAGCATGGACAGGAGCATGGAATACCCTTTCATGGTGTTGCCTACCAAAATTACCTGTGTAATTTTCACAGTTTCTCTCAGAACTAGGAGCAGCAGTATAAATGTTATACCTAGATTTGGATGTCTTGCATGGTAGTTAATAGCAGGAAAAGTAAAACCAATGTTTTGCTTTTTATTACAGGTTTATATAGGTTATTTTAAACCCATTCAAAGTACTTCTGAAAATCTTTACCTGGCTGGATATCATCATACCCTGTCAGTCATCATAATACTTCAAGCTTTTTCATAATAAAAAAAAATACAGAAAGGAATCAGCAGAGAAAAATACCCAGATAATTTCAGTTGGTTGGTTAATAATTCCTCCTTTTCTCCGTTTTACAGTTGAGAGCCCCAAAGAAGAGGAATTAATGTCTTCAACACCTCTTTGCAAATCATGGCTTGGTTCCAAGGTGACAGGAAAAATCATTGTTAAAGCCAAGATTAGAACTCGAAGCATTCCGATTCAAGAGTGTTTACTTAAATCAACAGGCCACACCAATCTTTCATGGTAATAGGTAGCATACAGTCTGTGCAGGAGTACTGGGTACCAGCCTATATTAATATACAAAGAGTATGACAAATGTATTAACAGTGAAAAATGTTTTATTTCCTTCTAAAGTTACAGCTACAATTTATTGCACATCATTACAAGTGAAACATATAAAGTGACTACAATCACTTTCAAAATAAAACACTGAAATTATTGTTTTGGACATTTTAATTGAACATTTTACTCTTGTCACTTAATTTTTAAAAGATAGTTTAACAATAGGTAGTCAGCCACAATCGGCATTCTTACTATTTTTCAAATGACATTTCTCCAGTACAATAAGAACAATATTGAAAATATACAGACTTTATTCCTCTTTGAAATCCCTCTCTCCTCATTTGTTTTGTGCATTGATGACCAACCTTCAGCCTTATCTCTGAAGAGGTGTACAGCTCTGTTGCACTGAAAAACTGCATGGAAACCTGCCAGAAGCTAGAAATCCAACTTTAATTTGCATAAGTCACTTCCATATTTTATATGAAAAGCAATTGTGCACAACTATAATATTTGCTTTTACTTCCTTAACAGTTGAACAGAAGTTGCCTGGTGTTTGAGTTAATCAACAATAAAACTATATGGCTGATCAGCTTCATCTTCATCCTTTGACTGTGAAGGTGGGAGTGGCTGTATGTTTAATTTTATGATAATATAGGTCATATTTAGCTCTTAAGGAGCAAGATCAGTATGAATGCCTTGTACAGTGCCAATTTAAAGGAATGGAACAGAAGTTCTCTTGTGATTTTATATAATTAAAATTAAACCTACAACATTTTAGTATGGAAAGTAGTACCTATGTTAAGATTGGCTGTAAGGAAACAGAATTTTACTTTAACTTATTTTATAATAGTAGTGGTAACTGTTGAACGCTACTTTGTATCTTAAGACAATGAACACAGAGCTCATTCTTATTCAATACACATGTTTCTGCATGGTTTACAGGACAATGGATCAGTTTAATCTTTGCTATAGTAACTTATTCAACTTGCACTTAGAGGGCCACACCAGGGATGAATTTTGGCCAATTTTTTTTTATTTTCCGTCAGAACATTCTGCACAATTCTGCTATTTTTTAAACATGTAACTGACAATGCATAGCTTTGCTTTTCACAAAAACAGAAAAAATATGTTTTTAGAAAGTGTATTAAAATTATGTTTAAACAAACTGTGCACACCTATTCAAAGATCTACACAAAAGTTGTTGAAAACTACATTTAATTCTGAATATTTCTTTTGATTTTCTTAAATATCAGCTAAAATACTTTTGTTAAGGCATAACAAAAGTTTTGGATGATGCTATAAGTAAGTGTTGAAAGGGAACTAGTGACAGCAGTGAATCAATTAAAATATAGTCAAGCATCGTCATATTTTGGTCAAGTGGCCCTATGTTTGTTAAATTTGTAATTTAAAATATCTCCTAAACTCAGTTCTTGAATCCCTGAAGAATTATCATCTCAGGGAAGAGAGTGGAGCAGGAGAAGGCCTATGTCTACCTGGTGCCACTTTTTATGGGCATCATTGACATCAACTAGCCAATCCAGGTGTCCATAAATGCCGGGAAGGCCAATACTAGTCCTCCGAAAAGATATGAGGTAAGTTTTTTCTTGAGGCTGTGAAGAAAGAGAAGGGAGGGAAACAAAGAGGGGATGTGTTCAGACCAAAAAGCCAGAAGATGATTTTCACTGAATGTTTTTAAAAGATTTGAGAAAGGCAAGCTGAGACTCAAGATCAGAGAAGAAGAGCCTAATAGCTGAGACACAAAATAACAGTTGTTGTTTAGGAGGCTTTTTTATTTATTAATTTTGCCACACTATGTTAGGGAGGCTTATAATGAACTTTTCCAGAATCTTCTACCATCAAAGCAAACAGCAGAGATCCTGGAAAATTTTGGTAATTTTCAAAATGTTCCCCTTCAAAATACCATACAAAATTCAAACAGCTCATAAATTACAATAAGAATTTGAAATTAATCCTCTCAGAGATTTTTAAAATATAGCTGTGATCCCTTTTAAAATGAAAAGCCAGGTCCAGCTTTAAGTATGGTAACACTTCTGCTCCAAATTGATATGAAGTGAAGGGGGAAACTCCCCCAAATTTGGGGCCTTATCGTGGAAACTCTTGCTCCCATACCTAAAGTTCATTTGCATGACTTCACTGAGACAACTGAGTAGCAGTACACATGGTAGTTTTTGCAAGATCAAGGCCTTGTTTTGTACAACACAATCAAGGTAATTTCTACAAGGTCAGAAAGCTGTAATGAGAGGAAGTGAAATCCTGGCCAGTTATATCTGGAATCAATTAAGTGTTTTCTGCATTTTTCAGATGCTGCTTGTCGTTCTATTAAGCGTCAGCTCAACCAATTCAAGTTACTAGCAAAATAACAACTGGACAATACATATGACACACTATCTTTATTTCAAAATTGGCTGTAATACAAAATAAGGACTGGGAGGAAAACTTGTCAAAAATTTGAGTTTAAAGTGAACCTGTTTTCCCCCTTAAATTATAAACTGCCCAACAATCTCATGGACGGGCTGGCATAATTTCAGGTTCTACACAACTTGTTTTGGGTGTTGTATACTTGTATGAAAAGCAAATGAAAAGTGAAGAGGTGTTCAAGCTAACAGGTTACCCCGAGTCAACTATGTTGCTTTGTACTTTCAACCAACATGTTGGGATACACGTTTGGAACAAAATTAAATCTTACTGGATTTTTCATATTTGATGACTTCAAGCTGACACAAAGTCTAGCACTAGCCAACTGGATTCATTCTGGAGAATGAGCCCTATTCAATGAAAAATAAACCTTACAGAATCCTTCCTCCCTACAGCCCTTTTCCCACAATTTAACATTAGTAAAGTTAAACAAGCCTTGTGTAAAAAGATACCATATTGTAAGTCAGATTCAGGGACATAGAATAAGATTTTAGTTAAATTCACAGGAAAAATGGATTAATTAGTATCGGAAGCTAGAACCAGTAAAAAAAAAAAAAATCCAAAACAGGAAATGGATTTTTTAGGGACAAAAATTCCATTTTGGCCTTTTTTCTGTCTTTTGTTAGTTTTTTGACAAAATTTTAAGTTTTTAAATTTAATTTTCAGAAAAATCTTACTGTCTTTCACTTCTTCCCTCTTTCATATGAGAAAAAAGCCAAATGAAGCATTTCCCCTCCATTGAAACATATTTAAAATTGTTAAAAGCTAAGCATTTTGACTTTAAATATATTCAGACAAAATAAGATTAATGAAATCTGTTCAACAAAAAAAAAAATCTTCCTTCCCTTTTTTATAAATAAACTTTACGCTACTAGGAATTAGTACTTATATGACTGTGTCCCACAGTCTTCAGATGAGCAAAACCCCCATGGGAGTTTTCTCTGAATACATAGCATAGAATCTTTCATTTAGTAACAAGGTAATTCTGAAGGAAAAAATAGAATTGCCCACAAAAAGTGGGTATTATAAACATTAAAGGAAAATTAAGGAAGGAATTAAAATGTCCAAAAAGAGTTTAAGGAAGGAATTAAAATGTCCTTCAGAGTCTGAAAAAGTAGACCTCCAAATAAGCTTGTATAGTTCTGTATTGTGTACTTCCGTGTTACCATGTGCATGAGAGAAAGCCAGCTGTTGCCATGGTTATTATAGTACAGTAGAGTCAGATCTCATACAGACTGTACTGTAATGGAGAAGAGACTCACCTTTGACCTGCCTCGTTGCAACCCAGCCTCAACTGGGTGACATTTTTCAAGGGTAGTATGGTTACTGTGCTTTCTGACAAGGGATCTTGGGCCATGCCCACAAGAATGGGTTAATCCCTAACAAGTCAAGCTGTCTTTTCTCAGCCTTTTAAAAAACTATGAACGCATGACATGGTTTAGGTTTACCCCAGCAGCAACAAATTCACCCTAAGACCAGTTATGGCTAAAATTGTCATGCTTTCAATGCTTGCCTTAACTTAATGCAAAGCCTGTTTGTTTCCCCTGCTTTCAGATGTGCAACCTACTTATTTGTATGTACCTGCCACACAATGATTTGCTCCAGCTTTATGCTTCAACCTTTGCCTCTCTGTTCACGTGTTTAGACCTCAGTTTCTAAGACAACATCTTTTTAGAGAGATATATATTATTTAGGAAAAAATATTCCCTCCCCTGGGAAATGTAACATTTTTGCATTCTTTCAGAGCATGTTTCCAAGGAAAACCCAAAGAAGCAACATACCCTGTATGTGAACTTGGCTCGCAGACTGCAATATTCAACCTGCCTCCTTGACTTACTGGTTTTTATATATGTATAAAACACTAAGGTGTATGGATTTACATAAATAAACCATGGTATCAGCATTATCACAGCAGCTCTCACATGTTCCTAACAGGCTTGTGCCCCATTGTGCTGGCCACTATATAAATATATTTAAAAAGATGCTGTCCCAGTATGGCCTAGGAGTCAGGTACTCAACTCCCATCAAAACTCACTGGAATTTGGGAGCTTAATTCCTTCAGACTCCTCCAGATCAAACTGGGATCAGGCTGTCTTCTAATATAGCTCCATGCAGTGTTAGCACAGTAAGGCCCAGTTCTTAAATAGCAGCTTCTAAAACTTTTAACATAGAGAAGATAGGAAACAATATGTTTTACTGTCTAATTAGGTAGGTTGTAGTTGATAATACGAGACAGATTTAGCAACTCACTCTAACAGTAGCAGCTTCTATTTTTTCCTTTAATGACTTAGGACATGGTCCGCATGGAAGACAACAGCATCACTGCAGTCTGTTATTAAACTGAGGTAAAAAGACTTTTTGAAAATAAGTATGTTTGCATTTGTTTTATTTAGAAATAGTTTTTGGGACTGGGTTTGCCGTTACAGAGCAGGGTTTGTGACAATTACGCAAACAGCAGTGGAGACACCAGAATCAGCAGCTGTAGAGGAAGCTTGTTGTAGGAAGGACTGAATATTTTGAATCATCAAGGGAAGCAAGCCAACCTCGAACACAGGGGATTTGGGAGTCAGCCTCATGACAGAGCTGTGACAGTTTGCGTGAAAAGAAATGTTTCGACACCAGCCCCAAGACTTTCAACCATGTCTTTCAAACCCTGGCACAAAGTGGGGGGGGAGTGCGTTTGCAGCTGCCTTCAAAACTAGCTGCAAACGGAGAGGTCCCCACCCCGCCAGGTGGAATCAGAGTGTGCAGGGCTGCCTGGGGGACTTCAGCCAAGTATTCCAGCAGGAAAATACAGCCCACAGTATAATACACATACAACACTACTTTTACATCAAACAAAAGGGATACCGGTACACATAAATAAGCCATGGTATCCCCATTCTCACAGCAGCTCTCACACATTTCTAACAGGTTTGTGCCCCATTGTGCTAACCCCAGCGAGGAAAGCTGCAGGAGGGAAACCTGGGGGAGGGACAGCGGTGAAGACAGGCCCTGACCCAGGGCATCCCGGGGGCCAGACATAAAGCAAAGCCCAGCGCCTTTAGAAGAGGGGGAAAGGTGGAGGGATCCGACATAGACATGGGACAGGCCTGGCCCCGGCTAGCCCCAGCTCTTAGGATCCCATCAGGAAAAAATAAAGTGTCGGAGGCTTTGCCCTTCCTGCCAGCGTCTCCCGCAGCTCCTCTCCCCCCGCGGGGCGGTGCACAGCCCCGCGACCCCC